AGATTGAGTTTTCATGAAAATGAACCGTAAAATCTTTTACATATGGTTCACCTCCTTGATTGCGGTGACGGTGAACATGGATGTCGGTAGTTGTTTATAAAATGTAAGTAGAAGCAATCAAGCGTTAACCTAATTGTGAATATTATATAACTTGTTTGTATTTAGCCATAAAAAGTTATATCCATTAGAGGTACCATTGTTTTGTACTGAAGTGACATAATTATGTAACGTATCTGAGAAAAAAAATATGTGAGTAACAATTGACGTTTATAGTGTTGTCCAGCGGCTTTCTGAACGTCTGCAGTAATAGTGTATAATAGTATAATAGTATAATATATATATATATATATAATAGTATAATAGTGTATAATAATGAATACCTACATAGTAGAACAAAACGAAAATCATATTCACTTTTTATTATTAGTTTTATAAGTAGAATCAATACACACGACTTCGGGATATTGATTGTACAGCCGTATCTGATCATAACTGCTGAAACATATCGCTGTAATAGATCCATTTTCTGCATGTTCTCTAACTTCACCGTTTTGTCGCATCATCTGCAATACCTGCTTCCGAGTCCAACCTGAAATATATTTATATACACTTACCAGTGGAGAGTTCAGCTTTCATATTTTTGACATCAGCAGCGGTCACCTGCTTACCTGTTTTTTCCTTAATACTTTCGATAACTTCGTCCGTCGACTGACAGTGCAATATAACTGGTTTCAAGTTTTCTTTTTCTTCTGATGACAATCGTCTACTCAACGGATCACAAACCATCCACGAACTAGTACACGGATGGTTGTGAGTCATGTTGTAAGATTTTATAACGTATTGTTGACCCTCCAATCTTACGCGAAACATCGATTGGCAATTTAAAAATTTAGACCTTGAAGATAACACATTAGTTAGAGTCCTCACGGTTTTTTATTCACATTCAGACCTTCTGATTTACGTTTACGACCAAACGTGCAACGAAACACTACGAACAAGTATTTATATCTCACATCCTTCAACAATCTACTTTCTGCGTGAACATAGTGTGTATGGGTCATCTGAGAAAACATAGATTTATCCTATCACACTTTATGGAAATCCTTTAGCGCATTATCTAATTCAATCCAGCTTCCGAATCTCTTGTTCAGCATAATGCGTTGGAACGCGTCGCTTACGTCCACTGAAATTTCACTTGAGCATGAAGCACTAGAGACAACATACAACAGTTATTAAAAAAAGGTTATTCCTTGAAAAAAATTAACTGAAGGAAGAACAACATATATTTAGGACTTACCCTTCAGTTGACATTTCGTCTTAACTAACAAAAACTATGCGCATCTATAACCTTTTACGTTATTTTATCTTTCTTACGTTGTTTTCTGGACCTTATCAACAAATTATATATAGCTGTTGACTTTCACTACAGCACTTAGGACCACAGATCAAGTTTCGAAGGAACAACAGAGCTAAAGTGTGCACTACAAAACAGAAAATACTCAGTTAATGCTCTTAGCAGTTATTTAGTGTTTACTATGCATCAAAAGATGACTTATATATGGAAACATTTAATACTCATAAGACCCAACACACACACGGCAATTGAAATACGGAATGCCCGCTTCCAGTCAGCGCGTTCAAGGTCGTTGAAACGAAACGGCGGACAGGTTTGAAAGTGATTACCGTTTTTACCTTGTCTTTTTACCTTGTCGTAGTAGTCCACTCGTCTATACCTAGATAACTCTGTGAACACTGTTCTCGTTTGTTGTCATGTCTAGCAAGCACAAAAAGAAAAATCTGGGACTTTATGGCTAGTTAAAGAAATATTTAGTATGTTGTTTACAATAAGTGCTAACTGCCCAACCTCCCTATTTTGGGCAACTGTGGGTAATTTTTCGGGTTTTCCTCAAAACCGTAAAAAATATAGTAGTTTTCCCTAAAGTTTAGGGGAATTTTGGGGAAAAACCTTAAAGTGTTGTAAGATTTAGGGGAAATATTGGAGAAAACCTAGACATTTCCCCAAACATTCTCAGGATTTTCCACAGACCTGGGGAAATTTCGGGATTTTCATGCCATTTCCCTAAAACTTCCCCAAAGTTTCCTATCGTAGTTCCCCTCAAATAGGGGGATTGGGTGTGTACAGCGTTAATGCTGTTGTTCCTTAACTACATAGAAAATTTAGGGTTTCTGTAGCTGAAAAGTCCCTAGCACTTAAGTGCTGTTCAGTACTTTAATTATCAGAGGGAAGATTGTTTATGATTTCAATAAATAAAAAGTTTGAAAACTCAAATGACACAGCGAAAGGTCAAAAAAATCGGTTGGTATCTACTAGCTCATAAAAACATTATATATCTGGAGAATGTGATCTAAGTGAATGCTAAATATTAGCACAGAGTCCTCAGCTTCCACGTGTATCGATTACCATTGATATTACTACTACTACTATTACTGCATTATATGTTATAACTAACCTCTTCCGATTGGCATTTAAATCTACATAAAATCAAATGTCTTCCTTAAAACCATTCTCAGGCTTTTTTTTTATATAGGAAACCATACAACTAATCGACAAATTCTCTTGCTATCCATTCATAGCCTCAAAATCTAACTAACCAGGCCACATATCTCTACTCGCCTTGGTGATGTTAAGTGTAGAAATTTGGGCAGACGGATATGTTTGTTAGGTTTTATGTCATTTATGTTTGCTTTTGTGTACAAATATCCACTTATCTGCCAGAATCCAGGATAATTACATGGAAGTAGACTTTTGTAAGTCATTCTTGTCCTCCACGGTACGTCTTTGTCTTGTTTGCTTTTGATAGTTACAAGTAGTAAGATGCGTTTATAAATTTTGTCTTCGAATAGAATTTCGTACGAAATTTATGATAGTTGGACAAAGCATTTCTAACTGTACTTTATTATATTTCTCTTCACGTTACTGCCGTGGAGCGATAGTTTGGTTATTAAGACACGAGTTCTAGCCACTAAGTCTCGGGTCCATTTACCACAACTTGTACTTTCGTTTGTGAACTCGGGTATTATCGTTACCTTTCAGAGAATATGTAGCTCAAGTTCGAGTATCTAAACTGTTATTTTCTAAAAACTTATATAAGCCTAATTATTTCGCTTGAGAAATACATTATCTATGTTGTAATTTTACATGGTGGGCTTTGTGCACAACTTGTTACGTTACAATTTATGGCTTTTGCATTGTACTGAAGTGTTTATTTATTTATTTTTTGCTCACAACTCGTAGCAGAACTAAGTTATGATGTCAAGTGAAGTGATAGGGATTCAGAAGACGGTGATACATGTGTTAAGTAATAATGATTCCTGCTGCACTTTTACTATTTCAACATTTCTCAGTTGTTTCTACTTCAAACAAATAAATATCTCCAGACTCAATTCTCCTGGACAGATTGTTTGATTGAGTATCTTAATGAACAAACAGATCAAAACTGTAGTTCTTGAATTTCGACTAACATTCATAAATCATCAGTTAATTCTTCGTGTATATTATAGTGATTTTTTATGGTACCTCCATGCTATACTTTTCAATGTGTTAAATGCTTGAAAATATCAAAACTTCCAGAAACTGTTAAAAGGCCTTCAAGTTCATCAGAGTGATTAAACAATCCTTTTTTGAGGAGTGATGTTCGAGTAAAAGTTTTGTATATTTACGGTTGAGGCTTCTGAAATACTAAATGTGCAGTCACCATTCCATGACCACCTGACGATAAAGTACTGTTGATTTGTGATGAACTAGTGAATATTATACTTTGGTAAATGCTTTATGATGGGTCTATATTTCTCTCTTTGATTGCACTAAAGATCAGTAGACAACTGGAACTACTCGGTATAACCATTTACTTCGTAAGTTTTGTGTAGGGTTTTCGTTGAACTCCAGTTTTAGTTGCCCATACTCAGACTGATTTCATGAATCTCCTGGTATTCTACAATAACTGACTTTTTAATTCGATATTTGTCCGATTCTTTAATGTTACTAAGCTATAATCAATGTCGTTTTAGCTGTCTCAGATTCGGTAATTTTGAAGACATTAATGTTTGACTTTGTGTTATGAAGATGTGCCCATAGTGCAAATGATCGCTAATTACTTGGAACAGTTTCACGTTACCTTATTTGTGAATTTATTTCACTCCTTACTTCTTATTCTAGAACGTGAACCACTTATTAAAACGTTTAAATTTTGAGGCTAGTGGACTCCACTTAGCTCTTATATATAAAACTTAATCAGAAACTAGAACGTTTTATGTCCCAAACTGGGATTGGAGGTGTAAGTATGAATACTTGTACTGTAGAGATTACCATAACCTTTTGTATCATGTGTAGTAAAGTCGAAAACCTGAGTTTTTCATTTTATGCTAACAGTCGTCAGTTCTGGGCACCATGACACGAAATTTGGATTTAGTACTCATTAATGTCGGTCATACTACTCACCGACTAAGTCTTACCAGAATGACAATCTTTTTGCTGGTAAAACTCGGTCAATCAGTTATGTGATCAGAAATTTATGTTTCTATACGTTATTGGAAGTCTACTAAGTATCTGACTTCTTGCTACTAAGAAGTCGGAATGTTCATTTTACTAGTAATTTACAGAATCTTTTAATTATTCTGTAACTACTGGTTAACAGTGATTAGGCTACTCAGTTATTCTGTAGTAATAAGCAATAAATTTACGTTTGTTGGTATCGTAAATCTGCTTTGAAATTACTTTGAAAATATATTCCATACATGTTTTTATTTATTAGATATCTTATACTCTATTTACTTGTGTAATAGGTTTTATTTTTGCTATACTGGACTTGTTAACATAAAGTATTTGTTCATATTTGGATTAGTTAGATAAAATAAGCTCAAACTTTTGTGTTTCTTTAAATGATTATGTTGTGGGTGGTTCAATTGTACAATAATAGTATCACAAGTTCATTATAAAGTTTTCAATTTTCCAACTTTTCAGAACTGGATTTTATGACGCAATGGAGAAGCAGAAGAGTAATTATTTTAACATAAAAGTGTATAGGCGACATTTCTCAAGAAAACAAACCTTGGGTTTTATGTTTTTCTTTACATTATTTTTAATTCTTGTTATATCAATCTCATATTTAGTTTATAGTAATCAGGGCCTGAGTTTAAATTATTTTGAACATCAGCCTAATGTGGATTTGTACGTGATATATGAAAATGAGTTCAAAATGTCGAACAACAAGTCATCGGTTAAACCTATAAATCCTGTTAAATTTAACGCAATTCTCCAACCAATACATTCTTGTAAATTGTCCAATCAATCTGATGCTTCACCAGATCTAGTTATTTTTGTCAAATCAGCGTTGTTACACTTTGAATCACGTAATAATATACGCCAATCTTGGGGTAATTCAAGCTGTTTTCGTTATTCCGGAGTGCGTGCTCGAACTCTTTTTATTCTTGGTAGATCAGGTTCCACCGATTGGAAAAATTCCAGTACTCAAAATCTGGTATTACAAGAACATATAAAGCATAACGATATAGTTCAGTTTGATTTTATTGAGGACTATCATAATGTTACGTATAAGCTGATAGCGACATTAGACTTTGCTATCAATGAATGTTCCTCTCCTCGATTTTTCACTTTGATTGACGATGATTTCATGTTGCACCCGTCTAATTTGCTTCGGACACTTGCCGAAGTTACTGAAACTCAGTATTTGAACTATATAGCTGGTGATGTGTTGCGTATCTCCAAACCGATGAGGTTCCCGTCCAATAAATGGTATATATCCTACTCAGACTATCCATACAATTTGTATCCACCCTTTCCTACTGGCGGAACCATTATTCTTAGCATGCCTGTCGCAAAGCTGCTTTCCGTTGGTCTGAGATATACTAAATTACTTCCTTTTGAAGATGTTGTAATCGGCCTTATATTATATAATCTGGGTATTAGCCCTGTACATTTGGATGGTGTTTTTGCAGTTCGTCAATCAGACGATCATATTGATCTCATAAGTCTTCATGGGTATGGTGATAGTTCCTTTTCTTTATCTAGTTGGAATAAGCTTGGTTTACAGACTGTTTGCAACGAGTAGCTTGTTTTCTTGGTTGCTTCTTTGTTATTGTTTGTATATTCAATATGTTACAGTTTGTTAACGTTATGTTAACCTTGGAGAATTTCTAGTCAACTAATATTCACTTTTTGATTTGCTGATAACTTCTTTGAAAGTGCAGTTACTTAGTTACTTGTAAAAATGTCACACCTAAAATTTCGCATACTAATAATCAAACTGTTTGTTACTCAACTTGTCAAATAACTAATCACAAACTATCTAACTGTAATGTAAATATTTATTAAATTCTCATCTTGCAAATAAGTCGTAACTACATATTTTTCATTTCAAATTAAAAGTAACTTGCTATAAAAATATTCGTAATGCTTTTTTATTTGTACAAATATTGAGAAAGCATACGTCTGAAAAGATGCTACCTCAGTTATAGGATAAGTTCAAGAATCTGAAAAGTTAATGCATTAGTAAAAGTTATTGCCTCCTAATACAATCAATGTCTCTTAACGGGAAAGAAAGTAGGCTATCCCAGATAAAAATACAGTTAAGTATTAGTTGTTAGGTATTCAATCTCTGGCCTATCCGTCCGGGTGATCAGATCAAACCTTATGCTTTCTTAAATGTTTCTGTCTGGCTGATAACCGAGTCGAACATTGATTAAGTTGACGGGAAATAAATGTAGGCTGTTAGATAATGAGGTAGAAGTTTACGTCTTTTAACTCATGTTACTACATGAACTCAATAATTTTAATTATGGGTTAATAAACTTAAATAGTTGAACCACTTTCCGCTGTAATTTTGGGTTTGTTGGAGAAGATGTTTGTAGAGTTGTATTTTTGCTAAATATTAGCCTTTTGTGATCTCAGGCTGTATATTATTCCTATTGCTTAGCAAAACATAGGTTACTTGAGGTGAAATTCGTTTTCGTCTCCAATTCTTACCGTTGAGTAATGAATGGCTGATTTGGTGGAGTTTTTTCTTCTATGCAATTCACAGTGTTTGAAATGTAGTTTCATTCGCTTGTTTCTCTAAGTGTAAAGTCTGTTAACATATAGTCGTTTAATCAGTAATGGGTTTGACTATTACTTCTTTCCGAATCCAGTAGTTTTGTAATTATGAAGTAGTTTCATTTGATATATCCAGATTCTCTTGTTCACATATGTGATGCCATTGACAGGTATGATGATCTGTGATAGGTTTACAAAGAATGTTATTCATAAGTAACAAATGGGTAGCAACATATACGATCTCAAAGTTTTCGAAATATTGTCTTGTAATAACTTTTCTTACTAAATGACTGTGAAAAGGTCACTGCACGTCATTGCTGTGGTTGTAAGCACGTAAGGGATAGTAGCTGATTGTGTTGAAAATAAGCGAAATCGTGTGCTCTCTCAAATAAACACAGTCTTTGATAGTCGAAAACTAGTAAGATCGGGTCGATACTGGATCTGGAGCCGCTCTAGAGGTACTGTTTGTTTCAAGCCCGCAGAAACGAAATGATTTGGTTGTAGGGTTAGTAATTCCGCCTCATATAAAAAAGTTTTGCTAAAGAAAGCACACCAGTCAAAACGATCACTCAAAATCTGCCCTAGAGATAAAGAGTCTTCGTGTAGATGACATGATGTCTCATAATAAAAGCCGAAATTCTTTCGAAGTCATAGAGCCGATACTCTTTCTGGCAACCAAAGCAATAATTAATATAGTATATTGAGTGTTTGAAAAATGTGGGATACTAGTACGACCATCCAAATAGCGGCAAAATTGAGAAGATATTGTCTGGGAGTGTTTGGAATAAGTGAAACGCATTGGACACAATCTGGACAAAAATGTTAACTTCAGGAGAGCTTTTACTGTACTCTAGTCGTGAAGAAGAAAATATCTGACGCATAGATAGAGGACCTAAAAGTCAAGATTGGGGTTAATAGCACGTCTCGCGAATAGATCATATGGTGACATGAAATAGACGAAAGGAATGGGAATGGTCGGAGACTGGTAGATCTATGTACTTCCGACAGTATGATTATTAGCGACATCAATTTCCTCCAAATGCGTACGAAGAACTTCATGAGTTTCACCGGACCACACCATGGTAAACCAACCCTATACATCTGCATAAAACAATTACGAAATTTTATCTAAGTTGAAGAAACAAAAAGAAGAGACGATAGAGCTTCATGTCACAATCTGATGACGGGCAAACTAAAATTGTAGTCAAAGTAGCACTGAAAAACTGGATAAGTGGCACAAAAATGTTCCACAAGACCTTCCATCGAAATGCTAGCAAACTCTTAGCGAAAACTGAGTGTTATAATATATACTTGGAGAAGTGGAAACTGCCGCGGCGAGCAGCTGGAAAGGGATTAATGCAGCAATAAATTCAAGATATCTGGAAGTGCTCGGCCCCAACTGACATCAGCGTAGAAGTTGGACCCTTGTAGACAGCGTAGGTAAGATTCAAGATATGAAAAACAAGAAGACGGCATTCGGCAACAATAGAAATAATTAAGAGACAGCTGAGGCATTGGCTGAATATGCAGAAACAAACAGGCAAATGATAAACACCACGAGAGCGGGCAGATGAGAATATGTTGATGACCTGGCAACTACATTAAAAGCTGAAAGAGAAGCAAATGTGAGAGAAATATATGATAAAACGAAGAAGGTAGCAAGGAAATGTAGTAGATCAGAGCGACCAGTCGAGAGCAACGAAGTAAAAGTAATCACCGATGTTCAAGAAAGGTGTAACAGCTGGGAAGAGCACTTTTAATATCCCTTGAATAGATCAGTAGATTTCTAAACCCATCAGATATCGAAGCATCAAACACTAACCTTGTTATTGATTAAGCACAGACCATAGGGGAACTTAACAATAGCATCAGACAAATTGGGGTCAGTAAAAGAGCACAACTAGATGACATACTAACTGAAGCACTATCATCAGATAGAGGCAACTTCAAATGTACTCTGTTCTAGTCAAAAGGAGTTTTAAGAAAGAACAAATAGCAGGAGACTGACGGAAGGAATACTTCGCAAATATACCGAAAATATGAGATCTTTGTAAATGTGTGAACTACAGGGGCATCATGCTAGTATCAATACCACACAAAGTTCTCAGGCGGGTGTTACTGGACCGAATTCCCAACCTTGGGATCAACAAGATGGGTTTCATAAAGATTAATCATGTGCCAACAAATTAGAGACATTATTGAGCAACCGATTAGATGAGACTCATCACTATACATCAATTTCCTTCATAATGAGGAAGCGCTTGACCGAGTGGATGGGAAAGCTCTGTAGAATTCTCATTGATATTATAGAGTACCTCATAAGATCATCATCGTAATACAGAACTGAATTGCAAAGTTGTGTATGGAGAGTTCACAAATGCATTCTAATGGAGGATCAGTGTCAGACAAAGCTACCTACTATTACTTTTCTTCTTACGTTTGTCGACTGGATCATAATAACCTTCACATTCCGTGAAAAGCACGAAATACAGCGAACACTTTTGTCACAGCTGATGACTTAGGCCTTACTTCCGCAAAAAGCAACGAATTCAAACGAAGTCAGCCAATGTAGCAGTGGTTTCCACAGAAATGGGTTTCTGTGTTAACAACACAACGGACACTAAAAAAGTCACACTTTGTGCTCAAGGTTTGGAAGAGGCAAGGGGCTCTACACACCTGGGTAGTATCATCGATACACAAGAAGGATATGATAATGGTGTTAAGAAATGAATCGGCAAAAGAAGGGCAACACTTTAACTGCAGAATATCTAGAACTAAGAAGTACTGTCACTCAAAACTGAAGTCAGAACTTTTAACGTAAAAATTAAAACGGTCCTATTGCACGGAGCTGAAATTTAGAGAACTGACATCAACCATAACATATAGGTAATCATGAACAGTTACCTACGTAAGATACTGCAGATTCGTTGGCCAGATACAATCAACAATAACCTACTGCAGCAGGAAAGAAATTGCCTCTTTGAGGAGGGAATTAGCAGAAGAAATTGAAGATAAGTACAATATCATATGTGGAGACCAATATGTATCACAACGGAACCTCCAATTTACAATCCTGAAAATGAAAAGGAAAGGGGCATACCAAAGAACATGTTACTTCATAAATTGGAGGCAGTCATCGAAACCATAAATAGCATTTGGCAATAACTTGAAAGGTGGACGCTAAACAGTGTTGGAGATCTCTGGGTGGCGGTCTAAGCCCATAGAGCTATGACGAGCCCAAGTCTTTCAGTGAGAGTACAATAATAGTTAATCATTTAGAAAAATTAGTTTCTTGATAAAATATGAGTGCAGATTCCGAAGTGCAATGTAGCTGTCGTTAGTTTAAGAAATCTCCCTTGCTTTTATGGATATTGAATCTCTGATTACTTATTAATAGGAGTAAATTGATTGAAAGACTATATAGTAATTAAAACGCAATCTTTATTTGATCGATTTCCTTATTCAATGTCATTCTTGCTCATCATAGCGCTAATTTATATTGATCAATCCAGTGTGATTTATTGTTCATTTGACTTTTATCCAGTTTAATATTCAGTCATACTAATTTTTTTATTTGACAATTTATTTAATTAATAATCACTGGATGTAATATATGTATAGTAAAATAAATTCGAATTTGAATGACTCTTCTTTAGTCTCTGTCAAGCGTTAACTTCTATCCTTAGTTAAAGCGCAGGGAAAATGGGGTTAGGGAACAGTTTTATTCATTATGATTGAAATCAGAGCTACAAATTATTCATTTAGCTCCTAAACGTATTTAATCCACACTGACGTTTTTCAAAAGGAAGGATCCTAGTTAGCATGGAAATCCAGAACGCATGTTTTCTCCTATTTAAGACTCATCATTTGCTTGTATCTGAGATCCCGGTGTTGGTGATTGCACTGGGAATTAAACCTAATAGTAGTTTATGGAGGATATTTCTACCTCACATTGTCGACCAGCTCTGTTTTGAAGTTTGGCGTGTTCAGGATTACTTTTTCTAGTTAATTAATTTGTTG